TGATGACGCGTGGAAAAAGTAGTTTATAAAATTATACTGTTTTGTATTGTGTGTATTAGTCAAAGTAATTCGGAAACCGAGAACAAAACTTCAAGTTTTGATCTGATTGCTAAAATCTCGTTCGAACATTGGCGAATTCAGTGTGGCTCATCTTAACTTATGGATATGAAACTGGCCTGTTTCGATCACACCCTGATCATACAGAACGGAACTTATACGGTCACTTACGGCGAAATACAATGCGTAAACGGAATAACGATCGCGATAATACAGCCAGATAGAAGGCATTAGTTTCAACACTGAACATAGCATCAGTTCTCACTTCAGAGCAAATCTAAGAATAATTCGACTGATTTTTCATATTTTTTAAACATTATGAAAAAAAAATCAAATTATTAAAATAGTTTTATTTGTTGTGTTTATGATCGAATATTGTTCGAATCCATTTGTTAATATTATCCAATGTATTCCGTGCTTCGGGATAATAAGGAAAAAACAGCAGATATCTATGCATTATATGTAAGCCTTCTTCAAATGTAACATCTATTTTGGCTTTTTGAGCAGCTTTCTTTACCAATAGTCTAGAATCATCTTCTGTTATTTCAGCTGCGCCTACATTGATATACATTGGTGGAAATCCTTCAAATATGCCGAAAAGAGGACTAAAGATCGGCTTTTCAGGAGATAATTGAGAATGATTAGGACCTAACGCCAGTTTCACCAATCAATTGATGTCTTCGTTTCGAAGCATTACATCAGTAAGACAGTTACGTTTATAACTTTCTCCAGATGCTGAAATATCTGTCCAGAGTGATAGAACGATGACACCACGAAGAATAGGTAGTTTTTGAGTAATCAAAGCTTAAATTGTTAGTAAAGTAAGACCACGACCACCTGAGTCACCTATAATCATCAGCTGAGATGGTGAAATGTTATTGCGAAAAAGAGCGCGAAAAAATACCACTGTATCTTCAACACTAGCAGGTAATGAATGTTCATGAGTAAGACGACATTCTACATGAAGTAGGAACATGTTGAAAAGACATGAGAAATGACATTCAATCTCACTATATCCTGTCAAAAATAAACAGTATGATAAATTTTAATACAGTTGGACGAATATGAAATGATCTTTTAGATTCTGTTATTTAAATCTTAAACGTTTCTGTTTTGGATTATCATCAAGTAGCAGTTGGAGCTTAAAGAAAAATCTATTAAACAACTCACCAAGAATGTTACCTACCGTGTAACCTCCACCATGAAAATAGAGTAATATTCTTTCAAAATTTCTCCAGAAACTTTGCTGATGATTATCAATCCAATAACCATCTACTGTATGTCCATCATATTCAAATATTTCTTTTATAATTTCACAGCTAGATGCTTTTCGGACGATAGTACTGAACGGGAAAGTTGAGCGTAATTCTGTGACTCAAATAAGTGGATCTTCCAATGGATCATATTCTTTTAACGTTTTCATACGAAGTATATTTTCAAAGACTCGATATTCTGCATTAAGTGTTGGTCGAGTTTGATCTGGTAGCAGAGCATGTTTCAATGCTAATGCAGAGTGTAGCAAACGAAGAGCAAGATATGAAGGATTTGTTGAATCATATCGAAGAGAAATTGCAATAGCCGCGATCAAAAATAAATAAACCCAATTTCTTTAGAAGTCCGTTGAGGCACAACATTATTTGATTTTTCTCTACAAATGATTATTTGTTTTTTTTCACAATCACTCACTGTGTTATTTCTACTTTCCCTTACCGCGTAACTCATGTGTTTTTTTTCTTTCTCTCCTATTCTCTTACCGTATTGATGCTTTTTATGTCACACATCAGATAAGAGTGATTTATCATACTTTCAGAAATTAAACAGCACAAAACTGTGATAAAGATCATGTGAATATATAGAAATGCGGAGTACTCAAAAGAAAATTACGGACCATGTCTTTCAAGATTTAACTAGGTTTTTTTGAAAATCTTATCAGATTTCTTGACAGAACATTTGCAGGATTTTCTAAATAGAGCAAAAGACATATGAACACACAAAGTATCGATCAGTTTATCTAGATGAATTGTGTTATGTGAGGATGAGAGTGAGGCTGTGAGGGTGAATTATACGAGAGAACTACCACGACCCGTTTCGATTCAGTTACGAATTTCATCAGATGGCATTAAAATCTACATAAATATCAGCATTTTAAATTGTAGAGAATTCAAAAAGAACTCCTCCAATATTAAAAACACGAATATTAAAATAGCAGATAATTCAATCATATAATGGTGAGTTATACAAAATTTTAATGCCATCTGATGAGATTCGTAACTGAATCGAAACGCGTCGTGGTAGTTTCTTCGTATAATTCACCCTCACCCTCAAGATAGTGCCACAGAAATCCTTATCATACACATTAGCACATATTTCTCTAGCTGATGGTGCTCAGAATTCGTGATTTCACATGAAAAACAGATTTCTTAGTGGATGAGCCTGATAGAATTTGGATGAAAATGTGTATTTTTCATTTACGATTCATCCAGTACGCGATGTGTTTTTCATGTGGAATCACGATTTCCGAGCACTCTCAACAGAGAGATGTGTGTGTGATAAAGATTTCCGTTGCATCCTCAATAGGATTTTTGTGATACCCTCACCCTCACAACAACGAAAATTCAGAAAATATTGCGCAAGGACGAACAACCAGTTAAATTTCAGATTGCATCTACGTGACTGTTTTTGTTCATACAAAATTTTGTAGACTTTATATTGCTTAAAGAATAGTATCGGAGTTGTTTACAATGTTTGTACGATGTTTGTTATAGATTCTCTTCAAAAACAGACTAACACTGAAGACATATGGCAATAGTTTGATTTTGTCTTATACATATTGATTTTGATGACATAATGATAAATGACGTAGAAATGTTTTATTTGGATATAGTTATTGTTTGCAAAGAGAAAAATAAAAGAAAAAAGAATACCATAAATTTGTCGTTCTGTTTTACAGGTATCCTGTTCGCCTACAACAATATTATTAATCAAAAGCATGGACACACGTTGACGTTAGAATAATGAAAAAAAAGTTTTTTTCCAACATGGTAACATTCGTGGCAAAAAATAAATAACGAATCGCTTCTCTACATTGACTACAAAAAAAAAGTAGTTACAATGATAATTAAATGCATTTCTTTTTACAGTTTGCGATTTTCGTAGATTTTCAAATTGCCTAGTCTCAGATTAAGGTATTAAAATTATTTCTTGTCGTTTTTGTTTATAATTTTGATTGCGTCAACCTTAGCTCTTTTAGGTTGTTATTCAAAAACTAGTTTTATTGATTAATATATTTATTTAAAGTTCCCAATGAATATCGGAATGAAGTTCATGGCATTGAATCTTTATACACATGTTTCACCATCGTTACAATGCTTCTCTGACATTTTTCATGAGATCTTTTCAAGATGCGAGTCAAATATCTAATATCCACACATGAATACATGTATTATTATTTCAGTGTCATTCCAGTCCTCCTCTATGTACATAATGACAAAATTCTCTTCAGCAATATGTTTTGTTGGAATGTATTCTTTTCGAAAACAATTATCTATTATTTAATTGAAAATCAGATTGTCTGCTCATGAAATGTTACATTAGAATCAAACAGAAATACGGCAACGATTGTTTAATTTTACTATTATCGTTGTTGGTTACTTATAGATTAACAAAAGTTTGCATTGAGAATTTTCTAACTCAACGTTCCATTAACTTATTCATTGAATAATGGTCAATTTTTATTGAGATTATGAGACCATTTGCAAGAGAAAAAGATTGGTCATATGAATTTACATCATTACTCAAAGCTAATACTTAACATGTACCGAAAAGAAATTTAGTTTTAAATTAGTATTAAACGAATTGTCTATGTTCGAAGAAAAATATGACGATGATGAATAAGCGTTCGTGAGTGCTTCTTCCAAAGATCGACAAAAACTTCTCATATCTATTATTAATTTTGTTGTAATTATTTGAGTCAGTTATCAAGACTAGTCTTTCTTCGAAAGTTATTCTTGAAATATGCGGATATCTTTCGTAAAACGATGTAGTCAACGCATTTTCAACCAATATTCTTTCTTTTCTACGTAAACCAAAAGTAATAATTGGTGCAAAAATGTCGCATTAATTTTATTTTCATTCTCATGTTGCGCACAAATATCTTAGAGAAGTTTTATTTTTCTTTCCTTAGAAAGAAGTTAGTCTGAAGTACATACCCATACATTTGGTTATTTTATCAGTGGCTCTTTCAGAACTCTTTCAGGGTCAACAACAGAAGCTTGTTTACACACAACTTTTGTAAAGTTTTCGATGACACCTCTTTAAAAAAATACAATATTTTCGTCATTATCCCAGGCCGAGATATATCTCAAGTATGAATTTTTGATCAACTATTCAAGAGCAAAAACAGAAAATAAATCGATAAAATGAACGAGAAAGAAGAAAAGATTTAAACTGAAATTCAATTGGAATGAGCAAAATAGCGGTCACTCGTTCACTCAGTACTAATTAGTCACTTTTGTATCCTATTGGTACTGCGCATTGTCCATGCAAGATGTCAGAACACAAAAGTTTCAAAATTACTGTACACACATTAAAAGTGTTGATTTTTTCATATGATACTTTATTGCATATTCGTACTTCATCATATTGTTAGTGAAAAGTAAATCGATTCTTTTAAAAAATCTCGACCTATTCAGAAAGATAGAGAGAGGAGAACAAAGTATATGCCGTTTTATTCAATCCAAACGTTTTGAAACTCGATTCCAGAGACTCATCTATACTCTACATGGCTCGAATGTCCAAAACGCCCATTAGAATCAAACTTTAATATCAATCATTCAAGATTATATCTAAAGCCTTTTTAATTTATTCTTTTTTTTGAAAACCTATATAAAAAGCATGTGAAGCATTTGATAAAAAAAAGGCTTTCTAATCTCTAACGTTAAAACATGCTTCAAATCATCATTCTAGTTTTGTCTCTTGCTCTTGCAAATTTTGTTGTTGGAGACGATTTTGAATCCGACGAACCCAAGTGTGAAGCAAACTATGGTACGAATGGTCCCGAATTTCCATGTAGTGGTAGTTTATCCACGGATTACAGATGCAACAGTACTTTTCTTAATATTTTTGACACACCATTCTACAATTGTTCAAATGTAAATATCTTTTGGGATGCTCCAAGGAACAATTTGACACTCACTATTGAAGCAGCAAATTATACAAATTTAAAACAACCGTTTGCAGTCTCATTAAGCAATAGATTGGGTCTAGTACCAGTCTACAGAATTTATTCAAATGAACAAGAAGTCTTGATATCAAAAACAGAGGAAAAACAAAGTGTACACACATCTGATGAAAATTATCAAGTTGTACTGAAATTTAAAGGGCCACAACGATTTCAACTTTATGGAACGTTCATCGAATATCAAGTTGCACCAATTAATGCGAGTGCTTCATAAAAAATGTTTCGAGTTCGTCGGCGAATAGCATCGGGAAAAGAAAAATACTCGCCTTTATTATATTAATATATTAATTATTCTTTGTCATCATTTTTTTCCGTTTTGAAGGAATGATGGAATAAAATAAGAATTTGATGATATTCTCTGTTTTTCTATCAACATTGTCGTAGGTTGGTTCGTCCTTCGTTAGACAAACAGTGTAAAGTACTTTCAATTGTAGTCAAATATCGAAGAAGTATACATTATCTTCTTCGTCGAATGTCTAATCTTCGAACATTGAATAATGTTATATCTCAGGAAGATTCATGGAAGGATAAAGATGAAGATTAGCCATTGTAGCCGGATGAATTTAGGGAGAATTTATTAGCAATAAATGACGAACTTATTGATTGATTGAAACAATATTTATCATTTACATATACGATTACAAGAACTACTGAACCATTCAAGAGATTGGAATCTTTCAATGTTGACCTGTTCGAATATGGATCAGTTGACAGACAAAATTAATCAAATAGATTCTTTAATTTTATTTGTAAAGTATCAGAAAACTATTTTCGATGGTTTTTATTTAATAATTTTAAATATATTTCACGTTACCGAAATATATTCTACACACTAAAATAAAATGTTTCGTATGATAGATGTCTTATGTTATATATACAGTGGATCCTACTATTCAATAGAATTATTATTCATAGTACATCAGCAGGTAAATGCATAAACTAATCTACATCGGCTGTCTCATGACCTATCTTGCCTATATCAAGTTACCTTTCTTTAAATAATTTGCATAATATAACTCACCCTTCCTAATTGACAATACTCCGATTAAATTCATCTAATGATCATCCTGGTTACGGGAATATTACTCAATATTGTAACAAAAATTCATATGATATATTACATCTATTGATTATTATATGATATATTGAAGCTGTGAATTTCGCATCTTCATTTTGATCTATTAAATTAAACTGAAATTGATCTTAAAACCATTTGAAAAGACCCTTTAGCAAGGTTGAAACCGGTCTTGGCAGCTTGCCTCACACTCTCACATCCATAAGCAGTATTTTGAAGTGAAGAAAATGCCAACTAAATTAACACTTCGTATATTAGCGATTTATTGAGGAAAAAAAAGCTATATTAGTTTATTTGTCTACTTTTTCTGATCTTCGTAATATAGAAAAAAACAATTATTAATCATCTATCCGAATTTTACATATATAGCCTCGAGTATCTTTCCAAATGCCATCATGAGAAGTTTGAAATAAAACTGAAAATATGAAAGCAGCACCATTGCCGGTTCCACTCGTGACTGAATAGGGATAATTATATCAAAAATATATTATCGCTTAATTTTTTTTTCGGTTCCTTATCATTTCATTTTAGTGATTTACTGAAAAACAATTGATAGTTGCTAAACATGAGATGGATTATGTTTCAAAATAAAATATGACAATGTACTGACTGTAAATGTATATCACTGCTATCCTATATACCTTGTTACTGACTGACACACTACGTCTTCTCCTTTGTGCCTGCTATCCATTCTTCCTACTTATGTGACCGCTTGACCTTCCTCCTTCTATGTAATGCACGTGTATTGAGAGAGAGAACACACTTGGAGTGGCGAAATAGCCGAATAAACATCGTGCCGAATGGCATATGCACGCACGCCTATCCATTTGTGGTCATACTGACATTTATAAGTAGACCAATCGGATACATGGATCCTTTAATTCCAAACTAAATTGACAAGACACTGCTTCAAATAAGGTATACCATGTGCACAATGGTAGAATGAATGTTCATCGTTTGAATTGACGAAAAGACTTGTCGTTGCGGGGCATTGAAATGCATCAATGAACGAATGGGATATAACGAAAAGGGGGACAGACATTAACCTTAAACTGATGATTGAAAAAAAAGCATTATTTCATTCTCTCATCTTCGATAAACATACCTTCGAAAATGTACAGGTGCTTCATTGCTCATTATTATATTCATCATCAGGATGATACAGATATTTTCTTTCTCCTTTGAGTGCATCTCATCAAACCAAGCAAATCATAGGAATTTTATTTATACGAAGTCTCTATATTTGAATATGGATTTTTATCATTCCAATTATAATTGTTTGGTTGAGTGAGACAACTATAGTCGTGGAGAAAATGTGGCCATGCTTTGAATAATTTTCTTTTCAAGTGCCTTTATTTTTACTTTCTTCAGTTATAAAATATCCAGAAATCATCTTGCTTTCTGTTTTCTTTGAAGAAATAGAGAGTAACCTGACTACCATACGGCTTGATCTCAACATTTTTCATTATACAAATGAATCAACATTGAGAAATCGATATTTCATGAAAGACTGAAAACTCTTTGATAATGTCGACAAGTATATAGATTATATAACATCAAAACTCGACGAGAAGTTTTATTTAATCATATCCGGTGTCTTTGTAGATTATCTTATACCTCTCATTTACGAATTGAAGCAAATCAAAAAGATCTATGCACATGGGAGTGATATTCATATTCAAAATGGTGATAAACTATGTTTTTTCGTATGAGTACAACCATCTAATGATTATTGATGAGTTAATCAATAGCAGTCAAAACAATACATTACTACTATAAATATTTTCGAATAATCAAGAAAAATCAATACGTAATTTAACGACGAATGGAAATGTCATATTCATTTGGTATCAGTTATTGATTGATGTACTTATACGAATACTATCATCAACTGAAAGTGCCAAAACTGATTTAATAGAAGTCAGTCGAAAGTATTAAAGAAGGAAATGAAAGTGAACAAGAGAAAATCGATGAATTCGACAAACGTTACGGATCGACCAATACTATTTTCTGGTGCACACGAAATTGTTTTCTTTTTCATCTATTGAATCAAGCATTTCGAACAGAAGATATTGATAATATATTCAAATTTCGCTTTTTTTATTGTCGATCTCTATCAACAACTACTCATTTTATATACTGCACAAACATTTTCCATCAAGTTTAATTGTTTATCGTGGTCAAATTGTAGGTTTAACTGTTTTAGAACATATGAAAGAACATATCGGTCAGCTAATATCAATGAGTACATTTTTATCGATAACCACTGATAAAGTGGCTTCAATATTCGCTATTGATGGTTACAATCTTTCGAATTGTCTCGGTTGATATTGAAAATAATGTATGGATTGTAAAACTTATATTTACGAAACAAGAAGATCAACGATTAATTGAACTGATTGACTGTCAAGCACTGATACTGAGAGAAGAGGAAACGATGGTGGTTTTAGGAAAAATTTTACAAAATATAGGAGAGATGGAAAAGGCAAAACGTTACTATAGTCTTATGCTAGAAAATTTGTCAGAGGATAGTATTGAGATTATATTTATTTATAATAACCTTGGTGCAATGGCCAAAGATGAATACAAGTACGAAGAAGCATTAAATACTTATGAAAAATCCATGTATATAAATAAAAAAATTTTATCCGAAATTCATCCATATATCGCCGTGTTATATGATAATATTGCTGGTATTTATTTTTGTATGGATCAAACTGAAAAAGCGGTAGATTACTATGAAATAGCACTGAGAATTCTTTTTCAACAATTTCAGATTGATAATCATCCAAAAACGCTTGAATACATTACTGATATCATTAATAATCTTGGTGTATTGTTGATTAAGATTGGTAATCATGACGCGCTCTCTCGTATCTCAATAAAGCACTTGAATTCAAACAAAAATGTTTACCAATCGTTCATTCCAGCTATGCAATGTTATTTTATAATATTGATCATTGTTTTGAACAGATTGGTAACGGTGATCAAGCTTTGATTTTCTATGAGAAATCACTCGAAAGATGCAATCAAGCATTACCAGCGAATCATTCTCAAACAGCAACAGTTCTTTCAAAAATAGGTGGCTTATATTATAATAAATCGATTTGGCCCACAGCAATAAAATATCTTGAAAAAGCATTGAAAATCAATAAAAATATGTTGCCAAAAGGTCATCCAGATCTTATTATAGACTACGATAATTTAGTATCAAGTTATCATTATCTAAGAAAGGATGATTTAGCCATCAATATGTATGAAAATGCATTAAGTTCCGAGTCAACAAGTTTTCATGTTGCTCAAGCATATAATAATTGTGTAGCAGTATATTTCAAGCAAGGAAATTATGAAAAAGCTTTAGAAAAATTCACAAAGGCTTACGAAATAGCATCACAATTATCTCCTTTTGAGCCATCATATTTATCAATGTATCAACAAAATTTAGAAGAAATAAAGCGAAAACTTCAGAAAGTCGCAATCAAACTAAGTTCTCCACAATGAATATTCAAATTCTTGTTTGGAAAATACAGATGAGTTTGCTACTTAGAAAGTTTTAATCTGTACAAGATGCCATTTCATTGTCGAACATGAATTCTTAAATATCACATTTTACTAAATTAGGATTTTTTATCTCGAAACAAGGGTGAGGTTGATGATTTTGCTGTCACTTTCATCTTCAAAAACTTTCTAAATCAATGACGACGAAGAACTGTTTATAGTATCCTGATTGAGATGTCTAGTACTATATTGATCGGAATCAACCTCAAAAATTTGGTTCTGTAAAAATACTCATTATTCATGAAACAATGCAGTTCTGATTTCAAAGCACTTTATTCATACTTTTGACTAATCGAACAGTAACTCAATGTGTTAAGCTTATGCCACTAGCAACCAATGAATGTAGCAATTTTCATTTCTAAAGTAGAATCTTTAAGATATTGATACATGATCTCTGATACGGAGTCTATTAGCTCATGAACAGAACAAATAAAAGGAGGACGAGGATAACAATCTTTTCTTCACTCTCACCCTCACCCTCACCTTCAGTTCATATACCAGATTGTAGAGCAACTTCTGCCCTACAAAATGCGCTATTTAACTGCTTTTATTTCCGCATAAAGCATCTAAGTTTTTGTTTACTTATTACCCTCGTTTTTGAAAAATCGATTTTTTACCCAAAATCCATCTCATGTAGAAATAGCTACTCAGAAAATGCTTATAACATCACTTATATAAAAGCTACATTGAAGTTCGACATCTCATTTTCGTAGAGCAGAGCATGATCCACTTTACAAAATTACCATATTTAACCGTTCTTAGTACCTTCGCAGTGGGATTTACAGCAGAAGCAAACACCTATTTATTTGTTAACCAAATCAGTTTTTCGGCATGTTCAAAACTTCTCTCATGACTCTCATATAACAACAGATACAAAAAATTTTGAGCCCATTTTTCGAAAGAACGCAAAATTCTGATAATAACTTATAGTTTTTCATTCATCTACAACACTTCTAAGTGGGCTAAAAATAAAGCAAATATTGACCAGAAACTTCAGCTCAATCATTTCGGCGTGTGGGTGTGGGTGTGGTTGATAAGAACACTAACAATGAGCATTCACACCCACACCCGCACCCACAGCCACACCCACCCACACCCCAAGACTATGATACTGTCGCCCTCGAAGCTTTTCTTTCAATATACCCCAAACGTTTTCGATGGGCCAGACGTCAGCTAATTTCGCAGCACAATCTTTTCGTTCAATCCGATTATGAAAAACATGATCAACGGCATCCAAAGCTACTCGCATTCGTTGTTTACGATCTTGGAAGATAACATAACGTAAATCACCTAATTCTTCATTCGCTTTGTGTGCTATAATAGTTCGAATAAATTGTGCAAAGCGTGCACCGGTAAAGTACATATTTTGCGACTGTCACCACCTTTTGATCTAATGAGTTCTAACCATTCATCAACAACAATTGGAGACTGTTTAGGAAATAATAATTGATAGGAAATACCTCCCCACAGCATGACACTTTTCTGAAACTTTTCTTTTGGTTTCGTTTTTAATTCATATGGAATATCGGATTTGGATTCAGCATAAATACCTTCATTGTGTTGATTAAACTGAGGATTCAACGAGAATGTACCACTAAAGTCTGCATTCAAAACATAAGCCCAATCATAAAGTTTATTTCTTTTCTTAAAACCATATTTTTTTCTCAATCGTTTTGCAATGATAACACGTTGAAGTTTTTGATCAATTGTTAATTTTTGTAGTACTTTTCTTTTCCACCATTTTAATTATAATAATTGTTTAGTTCGCCAAATTGAACTTTTCGAAGTTTGAAAACCTTGTTGTTGAAGTTTTGCATTAACATTTCTGATGGTTGCGCTTTTGGTTAGTCGAAGATTATTTTTTACAGCCTGAATATATTCAAGTGTTGTTGTTGTACGTGGTGCACCAGATCTTGGTAAATCATTCACCTGGTTTCTATTTAGAATTCTCCAAACTTTGACGTTCAAAGCACTTTCAGTTGTATAAGGTGGGGGATTTTCGGACTGAATAAGAAAATTTGTAATATCTTTAGATTTCCATGTTGGATGTGATTGTTTTAAAAGTAATACAAATGAACGAAATTCTTTTTTATTTGTCGCTGATAGTTCATGTGACATTTTGTGTGGATTCAGTTGTGATAGACTAATGTTATTCCTTATATACTCCGTTCATCGACATGTGCAGAAGGAAAAATATATCGGTATAAGAAAATTTTCTCTTCTGACACGTGTTAGTCAAAACATCCTGGAAATAACAACTTTTCTGTTATTTTCACATCATCTTTAGCTGTCGGAAAGTTTTGAAAAAAATTCATCGTAGTCTTTTGTGCAGTTTCTCATTACTATGATGAGATATAAACTTGAAACCTTGTGGTTATGTAGTACTAGGTAGATTGAACAATCTGTAAAAATTTCAAAAAGATTCGCTTATAATAAATGCGAAAATGATAACTTTTAAAAATCATTTCAGAACTTCTGGGACACCCTTTATGTGTGATTCTTCTCTTCTCTCATAATCGATACATTCGATTGCCATTTCTCTCTCTTTCTGTATTACTCCTATACAGATACATGCGTTTTTAGACCTCCATCTCCACGTTCGTCCGCAAGAAAATCTAAATGCTCGCATGTACAGTTTTATTTTGAAGTATGCGCAGGCGAATTTCTTACTGACCTTATTAATACAACAAAATATCCATAACTGACAGTCTTATCGAAAAGTTCAAACAGTTTTTTTGAAAACTAAGTAGACTAGAGTTTTCCTTGACAAATGCTCATTTTTAATGAACAATTCGTTTTAATGGTGTTTTGAGTGACACATTAATCTGGAAAAGTGTATAAAAATCGAACAGGTTTTCAACATTTCAACAGAGGAAGGCGATTGGTCGTGGACTGAAAAGGAAAAATAGCTTTCCCGGATAAATCATAGATTTTCACGCAATTCCTTAGATCCTATTTTGAAGAGAGCACTTTCTTCTAAGTACTAATTTAAAAAATCAATAGTTTAGTATTTAAAATTTTCCCGTTATACACGAGTTTTCTACAGATCTCCTCAAAAATCGGCTTCGAAAAACGTTTTCAAAAATCTCTTCGCTTGTAAAAACTGCGCCATAAACTCCTGTTTCGATATCTGAAAACGCCACCTCTCTAGCTATTTTTATTGTTGGTTTATTTTAAGAATGAGTATGGACTATTCTTTTTTTGGATGGATAATAGTCATATGACTGCCCAACTTTTCGCCACCAGTGACAAGTACTTTGCCGGAATTAAGCAGGGTTGCAGTATGATAAGTACGTGTTGTTGACAGGCTTGCAGCAGGGTTCCATTTGCCTGTTGATGGATCATATATTTCAGAACTATCCAGGATACCAGTACCTCCGTAGCCAGCAATGGCAAGTACTTTGCCTGAATTGAGCAGAGTTGTAGTATGAGCAGCACGTCCTGCTGTCATGCTAGTAATATTGCTCCATTGGCCTGTTGATGGATCATATATTTCACAGCTAGCCAAAAAATCGGAAGATCCTACGCCACCAGTGACAAGAACTTTGCCCGAACGGAGCAAAATTGCAGTATGAAGTTTACGTGCTGTTGCCATGTTTCTGATAGTGTCCCATTGACCTGTTGATGGATCATATAATTCAGAACTAGCCAGATAGTTAGCTGACCCGACGTCACCACCAGTGACAAGAACTTTGCCCGATCTGAGCAGGGCTGCAGCATGATAATAACGCGGTGTTGCCATACTTGTAGGAGGATTCCACTGGCCCGTTGATGGATCATATACTTCAGAACTAGCCGCACCACCAGCAACAAGTACTTTGCCCGATTTGAGCAGGGTTGCAGTATGAGAAGTACGTGCTGTTGCCATACTTGAAGTAGGGTTCCATTTGTCCGTTGATGGATCATATATTTCAGAATTATTCAGAGCAGGTGCCCCAAATGTGATACCACCAGTAACAAGAACTTGGCCCGAATTGAGCAGGGTTGCAGTATGAGAAATACGTGGTATTGCCATGCTTGCAGCAGTGTTCCATTGGCCCTTTAATGGATCATATATTTCACAACTAGCCATATAGCCGGTACTTGCTACACCACCAGTGACAAGAACTTTGCCCGATTGAAGCAGAGTTCCAGTATGAGCAGTACGTGCTCTTGCCATTCTTGCAGTAGGGTTCCATTGGTCTGTTGATGGATCATATATTTCAGAACTAGCCAGATAACCTGTATATCCGTAGCCAGCAGTGGCAAGAACTTTGCTTGAACTGAACAGGGTTGCAGCATGAACATGACGTGCTGTTGCCATCCTTGTACGAGTATTCAGTTGGTCTTAAGATAAAAACATTACAGCAGAAATTGATATTCTAACAATAATGATTCACAAACCAATCTCGATTCAAAGTTGTTTCAAGTTATTGAAAGCTTCGTTCGCTAGAGAATGTTTCAGCATGTAGGGCTAACGGGAGTATAACTTAGATTTCGGGGTCCGTGATATAGTACAATCTTTTTTTCAAATATTTATTCTACTTTTATTTAAAGAGTTGTGAAAGAAGTACATATCGTTGCTGTTGGTGACTTGGACGCTAAGGAGATCATTTCATAATGAACCACTGGCAAATATCTTCAACCGAAAACTATCGTCTCAATGCTTGTTTTTTTCGGATTAGTAATCAGCATCGAAAAATGGGTCGAATATGGTATTATTTTGTCTGTTTGGACAGGTTTCAGTGCTTTGATATAAATTGAGCTATATCGTTAGAGTTATGAACCAAAAAAAGACATTGGCTCCATTACTTGGCTTTTCTCACTTTTACATTAGTGTTTGCACAAAAATACAGTAGAAGAATAAACTTTAACGTGAATGCTTTTGACGTTGAAGTTCTTTACACGTTAACGTTTTTCACAGGATCTGCAAAGATTTTCCAGCGAAGTTTCCGAAAAAAAACTTGATATTTCGACCCAGATGGAGCTACGAAGATTCTTTTTTTGCGTATCAATGTGAACCAGAAAAGGTCTTTCCCTACTGAAGTCTAATCCATACAGGTCAAAAACCAAATTTTCCTCCAAAAATCCTTAATTTCTAAAAGATGATACTAAATGAAATGCTCCTCAATGTTTTGGATGCAAAACATTTGCGATCGGTGTTTGATACGTAAGTTATACGTTTGAATTGATCACATTGTGATAAAATTGCCGCAAGAGGAAATGTGACGGAGATACACTAGTTTCGTGAAAATCGTGAAACTAGGGGGCGGATGGTCGGCCATTAGGCCACAGTCTAATGGGATTTGAGCCTTCGCCCATGATATTTTTAGCTTTGTGATTTCCCCAACTACATGTTTTAAAAAATGGTGTTTCGGAATTGATGAAGATTGGCCCAAATGTCAACCAATCCTGGTTATCTTATTGTTTCGAGACTACGCGAAACTAGGCATGCACCAAATCCCAATCCAGTCAAACCCAAATGCAATTCTTTGTTTGGATTTGATTGGGTTTGACTAGATTTGGATTTGGGTTTGACTGGATTTGACTTGGATTTGACTTGGATTTGGGTTCGGGTTTGACTGAATTTGACTTGGATTTGGATTTGGGTTTGACTGGATTTGACTAGATTTGGATTTGGGTTTGACTGGGTTTGACTTAGATTTGACTAGATTTGACTAATGATGAGAAGTTACCGTTACGTTTTCAGGTAACTGGTAACGATTAGTTAACTGTCTCCCGTCTCCAGCTCCAAACCCTATGGTTCTCAAGCCCTACTATACGTAGGTATCGAAGGGTCCTCAAGTCCTATTTTTGAAAAAAAAATTGTTTTTAATGCAGAAATAAACTTTTTGAGAAAAAGTAATTTTTTTTCAAAACACCTGAAATTTTTTTTGAAAAACATTTTTTTCTGAAAAGTCTATTTCTGCATGAAAAAAAAATTTTTCAAAAATAGGACTTGAGGACTCTACAATACCCACGTATAGTAGGGCTTGAGGGCCGTAGAGTTTGGAGCTGGGCACGGGAGACAGTTACCAAAACGTTACCAGTTACCTGGGAACGTAAAGGTAACTTGCCACCCCTAGTCAAACCTAGTCAAATCTAAGTAAAATCCAGTCAAACCCAAATCCAAATCTACTCAAATCCAGTCAAGCCCAGGGTTTGGGTTTGACTGAATTTGGATTTGGTGCATCCCTACGTGAAACCAGTACACATACCTGATTCAACTCCATTAAAGACGCTAAAAACAAAACAGAAACAGTATTGAATTACTTGTTACTTTCCCACTATGATGAAGTTTGATTCTTCCAACTCAGCACGACTTTTAGAGTATCTCTTTCTTTTCATTCACATTCACAGCCTTCTCTCTATAGCCGACTACTCTTCTACCTTCGATGCGTTCACTTTGTTGTAGTATAAAAGCATCTTTTCCTCTTTGTTAAACAGCACACATTTGATTGTTGATATATGTAGCACTTATAATCGCTTTTAAATTTTTTCAGGCACGCACGCATTGTTTTCTCAAAATAGACAAAAAAAAGTTGCTATTAAACCAGAATAAAATAATCGAAAGACGATTGTTAAAAACCTCCAACGTCCTCAAAATCAACTTTGACAACCAGCAAAATCAAAGTACATTGAAGGTAGTAAATGCAGCCAAAGATACAAAAACACGGAGCGATTGGAGTGATGATGACAAAGACTATCTATTGGGTTGCATTAAAATGTTTGCTAGGAACAGCCAGAAATCGCATCGAGTCCCAACGATGACGGGAAAAACGGCGGACTCCTGAAACTCCGAGTCCTTGGGAGCACACTGAAAATCCTGGGAGTAAAATTAACATTTCTAGGGCGTTCTGTAAGAATTAATCAGATACAACAAAAATACGAATCTATCTCATACAAAACAAAAATACTTTCGTTCGCTTAGTGCTTTGACACTCAGTTCGGTGAAGAAAGCATTCTGAAACATGGTACATAATGCGACAATACCTTTACATCCAAGTCTGAGATGTATGTTGTAAATACGTTCCATATTTCATTATGCTTCCTTTACGGAACTGAGTTTCAAAGCACTACGCGTGATAGCAATATATATGAGTCATATGGGGCCAACATGTATAAAAGAAAAAAAGAAGAAAAAGATGCCCTTGGTGGAACTCGAACCACACATCTTCTGCTATCCTAACAGATGTTCTACGTCAATTATACTAAAAGAGACATATTAATCTTCCTTAGAGTTGGTATGTATCATCACCAATGCTAACAACACGAATGAAAGTATATTTTGTTTTATATGAGACAGATTCATATCTTTTTTGTATCTGATTAATTCTTACAAAACGCTTCATAAATGTCTATCGTACTCCCAGAATTTTCATCTACTCTGGCAATCTCTGCAACAAACAATAATCTATTGGATAGCCGCAATCTCAGGATATGTTATCCTGAGCACAGACAAGAACTTTAGACAAACAAGTCGCACAATTCAATTGAATCGCCAATGTCACCAGCAATGACAAATAAACGAGCTACTCCGCCTCTCCTTCTTCATCGTCACATTTCGTTCCCTAGCACTAAATTACCGAAACGTTCTCTAAAAATTGACCATGTTAAATGCGTAGAAGAGCCCCACAAAAACAATTTACAACACTGATCCAGATTGGGTTGGTCTAATTATTTTAGCCACATATCCCAGGTGAAACTCACTCGATCGGATTCTGTCGGACGGATGTTAAATCCGGCTGCATACGGCGGTTGGATCTGGCCAGACACTTTCCGACGTACTCCGATGGCTTACACTATTTTCCGTTGATATTCGCTTACCGGATTCAGTGAATTCCGATCTAACGTATGTTACCGGAAACGATGAGATTCGACAGACAGATCCTATCGGATACAAATAATTCCAACTCGATCCGGGCGAATAACCGCTGAAGCCTTGTTGTCGGATTCCGAGAACAGGATCAGACCAAGTTTAGTAGTATACCAATAGCGGTATAAGTAGAGTAGTGTACTCATCAAGGTATCGATATTGTAGTATACTCATCAGGTTATAGGTAGGATGATACATCCATTAGAATATAGATTTAGTATCGGGTGCCCCATAATGAATGGCCGCACTTTGTATTTCATATTTTAATCTCTAAATACATTTTATTAAAAAAACAAAATATACAGCAAGATGCAGCATGGAAAGCTCTACAATCTACAAAGTAGAGCTTTTTTTAATTATATACTTTTTTTTCAGAAAAAGTAAAATTCCGTACGATCAATTTTTGCCCTTGCGAAAACTGATTGTAGAGAGTTTTGCTCTTTTTGAAAACAAAAAGTATATAATTAAAATACGCTTTACTTTGTGGATTGTAGAGCTTTTCACGCTGCATCTTGTGGTATATTTTCTTTTTAATAAAACGTATTTAGAGATAAAAATGTGAAATCCAAAGTGCGGATATTCATTATGTGGTACCCATTAGTTTTGTAGAGCGGACGATTCTGTGCAAAATGTGATATCGAACTAAAATGTACCGTTTACACAAGTGAAATCATAAGCATTTTTTACCCACTGCTTCTACATAAAACGTGGTTTGATCAAAAATTCGATTTTTTCAAAACTGAGAATGACAGGAAAACAAAAATCTTGCTGCCTTATCGAAAGACAAATAGAAACTACAATAGCATATTTTGTAGAGCAGATTTTTCTCTACAAGCTGATCTATTAATGAAGATTGCAACTTTAGATTTCGGACTGAAATCATAAAAATGGGAAAATTCACAGAAAACTATTCCGTCCAAACTATTTTTTTCAAGCTTCTCAAAGATTTCCTTATACTTCTCCAACAAAATCTGACAGATAATTTCTTAGCTCATACTTGAAAAGAGCATCGAATTCTCGTTCTTATCCATAGTTTTCGACTCTTCTGAAATACTTTCACATAGGCGAAAAATGAGTAAACATTTTGTCTCAAAACTTTCGGTTCATCAGTTATTCAAAAAGGGGCAACCACTATTATCACTAAAGCACTACACATGTTTTCGTTTAAAAAATTTCAGAACAGCGAAATGGCACAATTTCATTACGAATTTTTATTGCGGTAACAGAGTTAGTTGGCCGTGCCGCATAGATACTTACATCCATATTAACAAGAAAAATACATTAAGATAATTCCTTGACATCATTCGAAAGCAAAATTTGGTTCCTGTTAATAATAAGCACTGTGAGAAATATTCCCTATGATAGGAGAATCAAAATGAAATCGAGCTAAATAGAAAAAAAAACATATTTGATGCCTTTTAAGAATGACATATACAAAAACAATATGC